CAATAACACACAGTTCATCAAAATTTTGTTGAGCTAATATATTTCTCAGAGATTCAAAGAATTTTTCTTGTCCTTGGTTAAGTGCATATATGTTGGCTATCAGCATTGTTTTTACATGTCTCTGAATTTGTACTAATAAAATCCTTTCACCGTCTGAATCGTATATCAATTCAGGATGTAATGATTCTTTGACATATGTTGTCAATCCTTTTTTCTTCTTCTGTTTGTCTACAGAAATGAAAGTTTTACCAAGCTATTTATTTATGAGACTTTTACCCCGCCCTCCCGCCAATTTCCTATCTGGTCATTTAATATGTGTTTCCTGTAAACAGACCACATCCAACTTCATTTTTTGGATTTGATGGAAAATTTGTCTTCGTTTTTGTGGAGCATTAAGACCATTTACATTTATTGAAATTATTTTAAGTTTACTACTCTCCATCCTTTGTTTCTTTGGGGGTCTCAGTCTTTGAACGTTGCTGAAGTCTGGTACATACTTGCAATGTGATAGCATTACCTTTAAATCTTTCTTTTCATCCTTAGGTATGTTAGACGCGCCTCGTTCTTGATTTCCGTCTTCCTCTTCTTCATCCTCTGTTACACCTTCTTCTTGGAAGCATAGCTCTTCTCCGTGTTTTTAAAGAAAGTTCTCCAACTTAAAAATTGAATTAATTTCCTGCCTTCTAGCCTTATAAGTGAAGAGCACCCCGTTCCACTAAAAGCCATCTGTAGCTAATTCTATTTTCCTTTACACTGTTAACTAGCTTTGAATATTTTTTCTTTTATCTTGCACCCTCCAGGGAATGTCCTTCAAAATTTTAATTTCTGTCCCACGAAACATTAAGGGCTTCTGGGCTGCTGTTTTCAAAATCTTTTCAGGTAGAGGTTTCCTGTAAAATTTTACATGGACCTCTCTAGTTAATTTATTCCTTTTTGCAAAGGCTGAGTTCATTCTGAAGGCCACCTCCATACCTTCATATACTTCTTTAGTGTTTTCTGATTCGATGAATTCTGATATTAATTGTGCCATGTCTTGTTTAAGGTCTTCATCGTCCTTTTCCGGAACATTCTGAAACCTTAGCATATAGGCAGCTCTCTCTAGTTCCATTTTAATCAAGGCGTCTTCCAATGCCTGAATTTGTTGCTCCATATAATCAGATTTACTTTGTAATCTACCTGTTATCGTAGTTAACAATTTTTTGTCTATTTTTGAATTTCTTCTGTTCGGGCTGTAAGTTGCTGTGAAAGATTTTCTAACTTCACATGAATCGGTTCTAATGCCCTTTCCACCACCAAGGGTAAAGCTGATTCTACTGCTGAAGTCACGATGGGTGGTAGTACTGAGGCAATAGTCAGGCAATCCACTGCCTGATTAACTGTGGTGGTAACCGCCTCTTGAATTAAATTTTGCAATTCTTTTAAATTAGAGAAATTACGGTTTCAGGAAAGACAACCCCCGGGGCGCAGCTTCTCTCAGCCGCCTATCGGGAATATGTATATTTTGCCCCTCCTCTACCTGTGTCCGGTCTACCCCAGTGTGTAACAGCAAAGTTCCTTTCAGTGCAAGGGGGGAGTAAGCTATATCTTGGTCCATTTAACCCAAAAAAGAAGAAGGGGAAAAAAGGAAAAACCACAATTCCATGTGGTTGGAGGGCCCTGCTCCAGATGACTTCAACGAAGCTTCAAGTCAGTCTTGAAGTGCTCTTCTGGCCCAGGTAACAAGGCGATTGGGTTGCCGCCAAGGGTTGCCACCCATGTCGATTCTCTACGGGAGGCTCAGTGGGGTCTAGGGCGGACTGGGATGGTAGATGGTAGAAACCCCCCTACAGACCAGAAGAGTCGGTGGTAACGGAGTGGCTCCCCGCTACTGACTGATTGCGTCGTGTCACACACCAGAAGTCCTTTCTTTTTTTTTCTTTTTTTATGCTCCACTTGCCCTGACTTAGAGGGCCCAGGCTAGCCTGATCCTGTCATATCTCAGAACAAAGCTAAGTAGGGTCAGCCACCCTGGTTAGTATTTGGATGGGCAACTATAAAGAAATGTGTTTTCTCCTGGGAGGCTGGCAAGGAGCAAAGCCTCCATTTTGCGTTTTAACAGGGTTTTTTCTTTAGGCAGAGGAGGGAGTCAGTTCACTTGTACCTCAGTCCACCTTCATACAAATGCTAATAGGTCTAGACAAAAGGGATAGTCATGCTTCCCCCTTCTCTCCCCCCCCTTCCCCAGGCAGGGAACAGAGTTTGGAGGACTGTAGGCTAGAACAGCTCCAGGGATAATCTCCAGGAAGGGACTGGAGGAAATGCTTATCTGACCTGGGCTGACTGGGGTCAAGTGGGTGGAGTACCAGAGATGATAAAATTTCCTTGCAGGAGGACGGTGGTCTCTTTTCCTTGGGTACTATGACTAGGAATGCACACAGAGCTCTCCTCTGAAGCAGGCAGCCATTTTGACCATGTGCTCACCTGGAGAGCTGAAGGGAACTTCAAGATAATGATAACTTTGTAGAGCACTAGAGCTTCTTAAAGTTAAACAGCCTGTCCTATATTTTAACGATAGGGCATGTATAGAGAAAAGGACAGCAGATTTGCAATGTTACCATATTTTTTTTTTATTCCTTGCTCAATCTGGTGCTGGGCTAAAAGTATGCTTGTAAACGTTTTCATAGTCATAAATACTTTATAATTTTTGATGCTGGGAGCAGTTCTTTGTACTGCATAGACCTCCACTGTCTCGAACACACTATCTGAAGTGGGGAGCCAGGGGGAAGGCAGGCAGTTGGCAAGCAGCTATTTCTCCAAGGGTGCCCAGGGCATTAATCTTTCCTCACAGTGACCAGGCACTGGGCAGTGGGAGACACTGAGGCAAGGCCTCTGAACTTGGAAGGGAGGCTGGGAGTCCTGATCCTCCCAGTGGGAAACCTCAATAATGATCAGGTGGTGGTGGCAGGGTGGAATAGGGCCTGCAGACCAGAGCAGGCACATTCTGCCACAGAGACCACCAAGGAAGTCTGGGGTTGCCGTGCAGAAGCAGGCAATTGCAAACCACCTCTGTTTACCTCTTGCCTTCAAAATCCTATGGGGTTACCACGAACTTGAATGGGAGATCTCCAAGGAATACCAGGGTTGTGATTCAGAGGCAGGCAATGGTAAACCACCTCTGTTCATCTCTTGCCTTGAAAACCCTACAGATGTCACCATAAATCAGCTGCGACATGAAGGCACTTTCTACCACTTTGCCTTACCTTGTTGCTTTTCTACAGCAAACCAACAGGCATAAATCTTACAGGTAAAGCTTTATCTGAATGAAAAAGATGACATGGGGCAGTGTTCCCTCTAAGCTGAGTTAGTGTGAGCTGGCTCACAGTTTTTTAGCCTTCAGCTCACACATTTTTATCTTAGCTCAGGAAGGATGACTCCAGAGCAAACTAATTTATGCAGTAGCCAAATCACTTGCTCACAACTTTAATGCTGGTAACTCAGAAAGTAGAATTTTTGCTCTCAGGACTCCACAGCTTAGAGGGAGTATGGACGTGGGGGAAAGCAGGGCATGAAAACAGGCATTCTAGTCCCAGGATGGGAGACACAGCCAGGAGGGAAACATAGATGCATTTACCTGTAATGAAGCTTCATTGAACGGAGCACAGTGCACTGGGAAATGAGCCAATAACTTTGAAGCTCCAGTGGAAGAAGCTTTCGTCTTGCATAGGAGGCTCTTCCTCCACCTGGAGAGCTTTCCCCCCCAGAGGAAGACCCCACACTGAGGTGCATCTAGTGTTAGGATGCAATCTTGTACCTGCACAATTAAGGCTGTCTGAAACACAGATTTCTACAGATGTTTTCTCCCACATTCCTTTTAGCTCCAGCCAATCCTGTTTCCTTGCTGTGATGGGTGTCACCTGGCACAGCCTCCACCAAGCATGTTTCCTTCTATGTACGTGCCATTAACTGACTCATGGCAAATCTAGCAAAGGGCTTTCAAGGCAACTGAGGAGCACAGGTGGTTTGTCACTGCATTCCCCCACAGGGCTTTCCTTGGTGGTCTCCTGTCCAAGCACCAGCCCTGCTTAGCTTCCAAGAGCTGACAAGATTGGGCTACACAGTGCCGCCTTCTCTTCCATGTTTCCTTCTACTGCGAATGCAATCTTCTATAAAGCACAAGCAGCTGCAGTGAAGAGGGATGAGTCTTGGACAGCCAGCTAGGAGATCTTAATGGGTATTTGGGGCAAAGAATGAGGATGGGAGCTAAGACTGCAGGCCTGTTAGCCTGAGCATACACAGTGCCTTAAAGAGAATCCCCCAGGATGGGATTTCTCCTTGGCGTGAACTGTCGCTTTAAGAATCAGTCTTGTCACTGTTAACAAACTCCAGAGCCCCTTCTCACTCAAAGGCTGCCACATCCACACAGCATTGGATATTGTGCTACAGCAATCATTCACAACTGATTTGTCTTGTCCACACAGGAAAATCCAATTACAAATGATTGCTGTAGTCCGGTGATAGTGTAATATCCAACAATATCCTCTGGAGCAGCTGAGAAAAAACCTTTGACCTCTTCCATGTGACAGCCCTTCAAGGTGTCTCAAGAGCACAATCTTGCATCTCCTCCGCTGCAGGCTAAACATGCCCACTTCCTTCCGCCTTCCCTCACAGGACGTGTTTTCCAGACACCTGTCTGCCTTGGTTGCCTTCCTTTGAAGCCTTTTCCATTTGTCTGCATTCTTCTTAAACTGTGATACCTAGAAGAGGACAGAGGACTCCAGATGTGGTCTCATGCTTCCCATGACTTGGGCACGATGCTTCTATTAATGCAGCCTCAAATCAAGTTAGGCCAAGTGCAGGAAAGAGAATGAGAAATTTAATATATATATTATACTAGTAGCAAAGCCATTGTAAAAGGAATACAACGAATACTAGCAAGATCTCGGCCTCACCCTCCTCCTTGGTCGCGTTCTCATCTATGGTGCCAGTCCTCATCTGCACACAGCCTGCCCTGCCACCTGCAGCCATCTGCAGGTGGTGACGACCGGTACGGTGTTGGCATGGTCGGCCTCAGCCTCCTTACCCTGCGGCTGCCGGATTGTTGGGCTTGTCCATCACCTCACAGCACACCGAGGGCGAGAGGCTGGGCGCCACTTCCATGGACCTGCCGCCCAGCCAGCTCCCTGCACCCTGATGCAGCCGACGACGACCACTGCGGCAGCGCCATGTTCGGCCTCGGCCTCTGAAGCCTCTGCCCGCCAGAGCATTAGAGGACAGCCCTCACCAGAGGCACCCGCATGGAACTCTTTGTGCCCAGGGAAGCGGCAGTGGGTGAAATTTGACCCTCCCATATTGGTCTGCCTCATCTTCGGCAGACTCAACTTTCAGACTTATCTCCCTGTGACATTGAAGGGTCTCCATGGCCAGATGGCCATCTCCCTCCCTCCCTGGCCACTTTCCCTCACTAAAACCACAAGTCTTAATTGGCTAATGCTGCTGGCTTTCCATTGCTATGAGAGCTGTTTGTGGACAGGAACTGAGAGGATCCATCCCGTTCGCTGGCTCCCTCCAGACTGAGCTGGCCACCGGCTCTGTGGGTGGGACTGAGGAAACACAGCAAGGCAATGCAGCCAGGGGATTGGCACATCTCCTGAGAGACAGCTCAGGGACCCAATTGATTTGGGAGCATGTGGAACGTTCAGGAAAGTGTTACCCCAAAACAGAATTATACATAAGGAGAGATATACACACACATACACGCACACTGCAGAAAAGGAGCCACCAAAACAACTTTATTTTAGTCTGCACAGCCCATCAGATTTCCAGTGGCCCACCAGAAGCCTTGCTGGGCAAACCCCCACCTGGCCCCACCCACTTGGCAAGCACCAGGAAAGATCTTGGCAAATGCCCTTTTGCCCATGGGTACCACGTTGGGGACCCCTGCTCTAACCACTATACCATACTTACTTCAATAGTAGCCAAACACAGAAATTAAGCAACACCGTTCCCTGCCATTTATACCTGGGATAGAAGAGCTGTGAGTCTGATTGCAGTTTAACGTGTAAGAGTAAGGACCAGTTTTTAAAAAAATAAAGATGACCTGCTGTAAAAAGCTTGCCCTCCGATGCCCCAGAAAAGGCTTCAAGGCCCAGGCTGGCCCAAGTTCTATTGAACATAGGTCAACACCATGATGCCTTGACATTCTAATATCTCTGAGAGAGATTTCAAGTTGGCAGGAGTTTCAGGAAAGTAGCCATGTTGGTTTGCAGTAGAAGAGCCAGATTCGAGTCCAGCAGCACCTAAAAGACCAACAAGATTTCCAGGGTATAATCTTTCAAGAGTCAACTCTGGTATCTAACAACGGGAGCTTTGACTCTCAAAAGCTTATACCCTGGGAAATAAACAGGTTGCTCTGTGCAGTCACACCCATGTGATTATGTGCCTGTGCTGATCCAAATCGGTGGTATGCAGAGCTCACAAAGGGATTTTTGCGCCTCTCTCCCAGGCATGCGTGGGAACCGCGCATGCCCAAGGAGAAGGGGCGCGGACATCCCACTAGTTCCTTCTGACCGCTGTCATGTCAATAACCAGAGAAAAGTACTGAAGCAACAGCAGTGGAGAAGGACGGGAGGGTGGTGTGACTGCACAGATGACCACTCGAAGATCATCAGTTACAGGTAAGCAACCTGTTTAGCTTCTTCATGGTCTCTGTGCATCACACCCATGGGAGACTGAAAAGCAGTGGCTCACCTAGAGGTGGGAGCTGTCGCAAATTCAATGCTCTGTCGACGAAAGGACTAGATGACCAAGGTCCACTCTGTGGCACTCACGAACATCAACAGTATAGTGCTTGATGAAGGTGTTCAGAGTAGACCATGTCACAGCCCCACAGATCGCCGACAGGGAAGCACCCTTCAAGAAAGCTGTGGATGTAGCCACGGATCTTGTGGAGTGTGCTCACACAGGCAAAGGTAATGGGTGCTTAGCCAGCAGGTAGCACAGCTTTATAGTCTCGACAAACCATTTGGAGAGATGTTGTGCTGAGATCTTTAGCCCTGCGGAGTGACTGCAGTAGGAGACAAATAAATGATTGTCCCTCCTACTTGAACGTGTCCTATTTAGGTAAAAAAGCAGTGCTCTCCTTACATCTAGAGTGTGGAGGAGTCACTGTTGTCCATCTTCTGGGTTAGGGAAGAAATTAGGCAATAAGATCTCCGAGGCTAGGTGAAATTTGGAGACCACCTTAGGCAGAAAGAATATGTCAGGCACCAGTCTCACACCGTCTGGTAGGAAACCAAGGAAAGGTGGGTCATGACGCAGGGCCACGAGTTTGCCCACCCTCCTGGCCGAGGTGATGGCGACGAAAAAGGCAGTTTTCCATGCTGCATGCTTTAGCTCGCAAGTCGCCATGGGCTCAAAGGGCCACCCCATGAGACACCGGAGCACCAGTGGTAAATCCCACAAGGGTACCAGTGAATGGATCGGTGGATACAAGTGGAGGAGACCCTTCATAAATCTCTTTGAGACCGGGTGAGAAAAAACGGAAAAGCTGTCGAAGCTCGGATGGGTGGCAGAAATGGCTGACAAATACACTCTGAGTGAGGAGTGTGAGAGCCCCTTCTCTGCCAGCAAGAGCAGAAAAATCTAAGACCTGGTCAATCCTGACAGAAGCTGGGGGCATGTCAGAGGGCTGTATGGAGGCCAAGAAGCGAGCCCACTTCCCACTGTAGGAATGTCTCGTAGAATCCTTCCTGGCACTGAGTAGCACAGTGGTGATTCTATCCGAGAATGTTAATTGTCCACAAGATAAGCTGTTAGCTTGAGCTTATATACCTCGTGGAATAGCAGAGCTCCTCCCTCCACCAGGAGCAGATCTGGCACCTGTGGGAGGGGATGGCGCGCCTTGGCTAGTGAGAGGAGATTGGTGAACCAAGGTTGCCTTGGCCACCAGGGGGCGATCAGGATGCACCTTGTATGGATCCTCATGAGTTTTTGGACCATCCTCAGCAGCAGAGACAAAGGCGGGAACATATATAGGATGTTGTTGTCCCATGGGTACAGGAGTCTGTCTCCCAAAGCCTTGGGATCCTGAGCCGCCCTGTAGCAAAACAGGTTGCACTTCAAGTTGCACCCGGTGGCGAAGATGTCGATGTGAGGCGTACCCCACCTTTGAAACACAGGATGTAGGTAAGTCCAGTTCAGCTCCCAGTTGTGACACTGCTTAGCAGGTCCGCATGCACATTGGCCTTGCCAGTGATGTGGGAGGCAATGGGAAAGATGTGCAGAGGCATGCACCAGGCCCAAAGGTCTAGAGCCAGGAGGCAGAGACTGCGGGAGACCGTTCCACCCTGCCTGTTGACGTAACTGAGGGCCGTCGTATTGTCGGTTAAGACAGTCACGCATTGTCCTGTGAGAAGAGGTTGGAAACATTGAAAGGCCAGTTTGATTGCCAAAAGTTCCAGAAAGTTTATGTGTTTCCTTGAGGTCACAGCATCCCACCTGTGACCTACAGAGAGGCCGTTGAGGTGGGCTCCCCAGCCCCACAGCGAGGCATCAGTTGTAACTGTGAGACTAGGAGTGAGAGGATGGAAAGGGATCCCCTTCATCAGGTTGTCCGATTGTGTCCACCATAGAAGGGAGTCGTGTGCCTCTTGTGGTGGGGCTTGAAGTGCCAGATGAACCAAAGCTGGAGTGGTCGCATTCACAGCTTTGCAAAGCGAAGTACTGCAGTTGTAGCCGCCATTAGGCCCAGAAGGCGTTGAATCTGGAAGGCAAAGGAGGTGTTTCATAGTCGAACCTGTTCTGCCAGAACGGTCAGGGTTAGTGCCCTGTCCTGGGGCAGGAAAGCTGCGCCCTCTTTGGAGTCGAGTATCCCCCCTATGAACTGCACTCTTTGAGAAGGGGCTAGGTGTGACTTTTTGTGGTTGACTCTGAGGCTAAGACAACGAAGGAGATTGAGGACCTGGGCTATATGACGAATGAGAAGGTCCCTGGAAGGGGTGACCAGAAGCCAGTCGTCCAGCTACGGGAACACCGTCAGGCCAAAGAGGCAGAGATGTACCACAATGACCACCATCGTCTTGGTAAAGATCCACGGGGCCGTGCTGAGGCCAAATGGTAGACTCCTGTATTGGTAGTGGCTGCCTCCTATTGTGAATCAGAGGTATTTGCGATGGGCGGGGTGGATAGTTAAATGGAAATAGGCCTCCTCGAGATCGAGGGTGGCCACCCAGCATCCCTGGGACAGACGAAGCAGAATGACTGGTAGGGATGTCATTTTGAATTTTCGGTACTATACATAGGCGTTGAGGCTGCGAAGGTCTAAGGTCGGACTCCACCCATCATCCCTTTTGGGAACCACTAAGTACCGGGAATAAAACCCGAGTCCCTGGTGATCTAGAGGCATGGGTTCTATAGCACCCTTTGACAGAAGTGCGGCGATCTCTTCGAGGAGAAATGACGACGGGGGAGTGGTGACGACTACAGGAAGAGGTGGGAGTTCCATGAATTCGATGGAGTAGCCCTTGGCTAAGATGGAAAGGATCCATTGGTCCAACGTAATGGTGGCCCAGGCCTGTAAATAGGGATGGAGGCAGGTAGGGTCGGAAGAGGTAGACAGGCAGAAGTCAAAGGCCCTGCTTGCCGGGTTTGGGTTGTTTCGGTCTGACAAATTGCTGTCCAGAGCCGTATCTTTGTCTGGTCTGGTACTGCTATCTGTTTGCAGATGGGGACCGACTTGGCCTGTAGCCCTCATCCAGTGACGGCTTAGCGTATTGAAGTCTGGAGCCATAATGAGACCAAGAGCGAGGACGAAAGGGCTTAGAGGGGGCAGAGACTCCCAGCGACCTTGAGGTCTTAATGCTCTTATCCATGTTCTGGAGCTTTGAATCAGTGGACACATGAAAGAGCCCCTAGCCATCGAAAGTAAGTCCTCTATGTACACCCTGGTGTCAGCAGGGAGCGCAGTGGTTCTAAGCTAGGAATGCCTACGGAGGGCAACTGCAGATGACATTGTTTTGGAAAACTTGTCCAAAGTATGTTTGGAGGAATTGATGATTTGTTTAGAGAGCAGCAAGCCTTCGTTTTGCAGCTTCCTGGCCTCTTGACGTTTGTCCTCAGGCACCGAGGTCAATAGGTCAGTAAAACGCTCCCAGAGTGAGTATTGGTAACGGCCCATGCACGCAACATAATTAGATGTCTTAATGCCAAGGGCTCCCGCCGAGTGAAAATGATGACCAATGGAATC